GTTAAATGTAGAACTGGCTAAGTAAAAAATATATGTTAGGTGCACATTTTTAAAGCTGTAAAAATGTCATTCATGCACACATGACTAACAAGACTACATCCCGTAGTCAACATTACTATCTTGTCTATGTTAATATCTTGTTACTATTTTGACTCATCCACTTGACACCAAGGTCCTTTAGATCTAATGCCATAATGATTTCATTCTTTGATGATACATCAAGGACTGAATTTCCAAAACACTAGAAGAGCTTAGAAAACACACCAGTGTGGCTATGATGACCACTGATGGAAGAATACTGCAAAAGATGTTTACAAAATTCAGTTACAATTCAATGTGTTCAATTTGACTAACAAAGCACAAACAAAGCATTTGTAAAGTGCAAAGAAAACCCAGCCAAGTTTCACATGTGACATTGAAATATAATTTCCATAATATCTTATGAAATAGAAACTTGTCTTCAGAATTTTGAATCACTTTTTATGATGCTGCATTTTGCTACATAACACCTATATGTGCATATAGTAAGTTATATATAAATAACTTGAGTTTTATTCTAGAAAATTTGTATGATACAGGAAGACAGCACTACCTGTTGGGAGGTTATGAGCAACATTTCCCTACCTAGAATTTGTTCAAGATGTTTAAATGAAAACATAGCAGGACACATGAACTTAGGTCAAGTTTCATATGATCTGATCCTCAATGCGGCAGGAAGTTTTGTGATATTCTTTATCAGAATAATGATCTATGAATAAGATGTAAATGGACAACAAAATGTCCTGTTATTTCTTCATGCAAAATTATTCAGCATAATATTGATCATCTATGAAGAAATCACGATCACCTTGAGTGGTGGAAAAATATCAATACTATGATTTTTCCACCATCGGCAATTTTGGTACAGTCTGTCCATAATGGATTAAAATAACATCCTCATCTTACAATTTAATTCATTTTGACATACACAAAACTGCCTTGTTACTGAAAATGCTCATGGGAACAAGAGATTCATATGGATTTCCTGCTGATCTCATATTGTAAACTGGACCCACCAATCATGGTCATCTTCACATTTGCATTTTTTAAACAGTAGGAAATTTAACCCTTTCAAGACAGTTGGTTTGGTTTATGTGATTACGACAAAGCCTTGAGGACTATCTGCCTAAGGGGAGGGATGTCTTCATGAAGGACTTTCTAAGGAAAACTGGCTCATGGGGAACACATGGAGAAAAGCACAAAAATAGCCATGCAGCCAGTCATTTGCAGGACTTTCCAAGACAGAGGGACTCTGTTTAAGATGTTGCCTTGGGATGAAGCAGAGTAGAAATGAATCATCCACATGACTGGGGTTTTGCATCACTAAGTCTAACTAAAAATAAGTCCCAACTGTGTATTTTTGGTAACATTTTAGATTATTACTTAAGATGTCATATATGTTAAAACTTTAAACATAAACCTTAAAATGAACAAAAAATACAAGAAAGATTATTTACAAAAAGTAACAAAATTTAAAATGAAGACTGAGTGTGCTAAATCTTGAAGGAAGGAAAAACACAAAGTCCTACATAGTATTATCCACAAACATGAAATGTCCATTGCTTTTTTTCTTTGTTTTATCATAGTTTGTGAACAAACTATGCATGTTCATAGTTTTTTTTCACCCTTTTCATTCATACAGATGGTAGAGAAATGCCTACCCAATAATCAGATACGTGCTACTGCTTTTCTCGAAAATTTCCGTAGTTCTCAAAAATTTGTTCAATCAGTTTCATTTTAAATTAGAGAAATGACATTTTACTGCCATGTTTTTTGTCAAGAGGAATACTGGATTTCGGTATTGTTATATCCATCAATCCCTCAAAATGCTTTGTAACATCTCACTGATTTTCTAAAACATGAATAGTGTGCCATAACTTTGCTGCCTATTTCTATACCATTTATGTTTTTGTTATAATCTATAACACATTTAGGTTTTAAAATGTCTTCTCCAGCAACTCTTATCTTATCTTTTCTGCCAGATTTAGCCGCTTCTGGACCATGTGTGCTTGTTAGCGTAAAAAACATTTTTTTTTTTTTTTTTTTTTTTTTTATTTTGAAGGAAATATTCATGTCTCACTGCATTACATCTCATTCACTCTTTTCTAGTTTTTCTTTCTAGAAAGTCTTTGGGGAATCTTTTTTTTTTTTTTTTTTGTTGTTTTTGTTTTTAATACTATTCTACAAATATCCATTTTTATGGACTGCAAATATTCTGCAATCAATGGGGAAATGAGAAAGCAATCTAAATTATACATTTTCTCAAATAAGTCACTCATCAATGTTTTCACAACTCTTGCTCCCATTATTTCTGTCTTTCTCACAATAAATTTAAAAATTTCATACATGACCAGTAACTGATTCACATAACTTATACACTTTTATCCCATAATGTCACCTTTTGGATGGAACATACTGAAAAAAGCCTCAAACAAAAAGAGATTTATCGTGGAAATATTTTCCTTGGGTATGTAAGTTCTTTTAAATTTATTTATCAGATTTTCTATGATTACTACAGTACAAACGTCGGGACTTCGGCGATTCTGGATAAGGGGTTTTTCCGGATTATAGATCATCAATTTAAATCTGGTAACATGGCATGCAGAAATTATACAATTAAAAATATGAAACCGTAATTTATGAAATGAGCAATTATGATATAAAGGGTATTAAAATTTACAAAACAAAAGCTTAATATTTGTTTACTTTATTAAACATTTCTTTCAATGTAAGTAGTTTAAGTTGCTTTGTTTTTTGTGCTAATACTTTCTCTTTAATTCTATAAACAGACATAATTTCTTGTTCAGTTACAAAGTTACGCTGCTCAAGTCCTGTAATCGCTGGGTTGAGAATACCGACTAACTCGTCAATTGAAATTTTTTCATTTTCAATAACCCCTCTGTCACTTTCTTCACTATCGGAAGCAGTATTTTCTGGATCTAGAACCATACTACAGATTTCACCGTCCGTTAATTGATTGATGATTGGGGCATTGTCATCGCAATGAAAAATTTCTGTTATATCGTCTTCATTTATTATCGCTTCTCCACATTTCTTTACAAAGTCCAATAACTGGAAAATTTCACCTTTAGTTTGCGATGTCCGAAAACCTTCAAATTCGCGGCTATTAGCTTCAGCATCCTCACCATGAAATATGGTAGCTGGTCATAAATTATGCCAAGCATCTTTTAACATATCTGGAGACACATCCTCCCAACGCGCATGCGTAAAGCATACAAAAAAAAAGTTTGTGGCTTTGAGGTCTGGATTATAGATCATTCCGGATAATGGACATCCAGATTACAGACTTTGTACTGTACTAGTTTTCCCAACTTTTTAGCACTCTTATTTGAGGTGAAATGCAAACATTTAAAAATGTTAATGAGCATATCTCCAGGCACAACTCTATTGAAAAATGGAGTAATGAATACCTCATTTGTAGTAAAATACATTTTCAAATTGGGATTCTTGATATACCCATCAGTATTATCACTGAAAAAAACACTTTTATATTCTCAGCACATTTCAAAATATGCCTGACCTAGAAGTTCATGGAGCACTTCGAGTAAAATTGTCTGTTTCTTCAAAAATCAAATTGAGTAGATCATCAAAGAAAATATTAAAGAAATCAATCTCTTTATCAGCATTTACTATAGAATTTGTTCCTGGTGTTCCAATAAATGGATGGGAATGCAATTTCTCACGCCCTCGAGTCCAAGATAAAGTATCTTGAGTCAAACTGTCAAGGGAAAGCAAGCACTCGGTGAGCTCAGGCTCTGACAAAATTTCCATGTCAGAATCACTAGAAATATCACTTCTAACCCTTTAGATAATGAATCATCATTCTCATCTGTGTCATTAAATTGGCTGATTTACCATGTGAGTATAGTTTTCCTCTGATAACAAAGTTTCTTTCCATAATAAACTTAAGGCTTTCTGAAATAAAAAGGGATACTAGAGTACCACATACTAGAGTACAAAATAAAAAAGAACATGGAGATATATCAAGAACATGAATGCTCAGATCATGTTGCGAGTTAAAGAGTTCTGTTTGTTTACATTATACTTTCCATCCTCAGATGATGAGGAAAATACTAAAGTCAGGCAGAATGTGAACAAACTGCAGGTCAGGATCCTAAAACTATGTTCAGGTAAAAAGTAATAAGACACAAGGCAAAATCTAGTGGTCTCTAAAAAATAATTCAGCTTAAAATGTACATATACATCACTTGTCCTCCAAGCTCATTCTCCAACAATGGATGGGTGGGAGGCCCAGCTGTGAGAGAAGCTCGTAGGGAGTATGTATATGCGACACCTGTCTGGAAAAAGGTATGCAGTTTGCTTACATATAGTAACTATATCAATTAGATAAAGGGTGAAACTCCCCCATCCACTTAGCCTAGCAATTGCAAAGCTTTTGAACACTCATAAATATGATCTCAGTTCATTCCTGCATTGATAGTATCATGTTGGGTCTCCCATAATGAAAAAGTTCATTAGCAGATCATTGATGTCAACTTCACATCTCTTAAAACAAATTAAGACTTAAAATTAACCTGTTAATATAAGTATGAAAAATATTTTAGCTTAAAATGAAGCATCATATGATCCTCTTTTTCATTTATAAACTGTGAATAATATTTGCCTCCTGAGGTGGTGATTATGATACTTATCCTCTGACAGATAGCTTTTCTTACCCATCATCCACACAACATATAGTTTCGATTCTTATACAGTTTGAGAAATACAAGGGGGATTTGGACTTTTTTTATATCATCCTATATTACATCATAGAATTTTTTCTTCAAAAAAGATAATAAATTTCTCCTTAGTTTCTATGCAACAGATTTAGGATTAACCTAGGTTAAAATGGTCAGCATGTTATTTGAGAGCTTCCAGATTATTAATGATGGAAGTACACTGAAATAGAAAGCTATTCCATTTCTATTAAAAGATAAGGATACCAAAATTAACTGTACATTTTATTAGTTAAAACTGAATTTTACTAGTACAAATGAGGTCATACAAATCATACATAATTCACAATTGCAAAACATTGTGCTATTTTGTTGCATTAAAGAGTATTTTATAGTATTTACTTTATATATTATATAGAAATAAATACATTTATATATATATATATTTATTTACAAGCCTACAGATGTGATATCATGTAAGTAGTTATAATACTTCTAGATCTACATGTCGGACTTCTGGATGCTTTTTCTGGAAAAAAAAAAAAAAAAGACATCGTTTAGTGAAGTTCCAAATGCTATTACTAATTTTTACAGCATAAAATCAATATCAATTCATGCAAGTACACTACTTATCATAACTCAAGGAATTAATATTAAACACATTCTCTAGGTTAATATATACAACTTGGTATTATTATGCTGAAACAACAAAATACACACCAAAATCCTTATTTTTTCTAACTTATGTTAATTGTAAGATTTATGATGGCATTAAAAAAATATTAGTTCCTGAAATTTCTGTCCAGTAAATGTCAAACTAGGGAATATTCACAGTTATTTTGATTTATAGATTACTAAATGAAATAGCATTCCAAAGTATATATATATATATATTAAAAAAAAATTTTTTTTTTTTTTTTTATCTTTTAATTTAAGATCTGCTATGGACATATGACAGCACAGGATACAAACATGAATTAATGAAATATTCCTACACATGCATGGATGTAAGTAAAAAAACAAGATTTTTTTCAAAACAGAAATCTCCATATAAGAGCAAAGAAAGCATTTGAACTTCTGCTTGAGCTCTACTGTCATATGCAGCTTCAAATTCAATAAACAAGAAGTGTCAATGTTATATTCCTTCGTTGGTCGCAAAATTTGTTTGATAGAGTGTATTTGCTCAATTATTGTTTTTCATTTCTGGAAATAACATTGGTAGTTCTCAATAACTTTAGAAGTATATCTCTGCAATCTTTTGATAAAAGGATGGTGAAGAAGACTTTGTATGCTGTATTCAATAGAGTAATTCCTTCGTATTTAAATAGTCCAACTTGTCTCTTTCTTTATAAAATAGGACAAACCCTTTCTTCCCACTCAGTAGGCATTCATTCCTGTGTTCATATACCACACGTAATGTAATAGACTGCTTTAGTTAGTTTCATTTCATTAATATTTAATAGCTCAGCTTTGATACCATCTGGTCCAGCTGATTTATTAAGGTTCAGCTTTTTAATTGCAAACTAAGCATCACAGAAGGTTGAAGGACTGTGTTCCACTCCTTCATCCTCATCTTCATAGATGAACTTAATAAGTATCTTATATGCAATAGTCTCTTTTTTATTATAACTACCCTAAAACAGATTTTTTTAAAATATTCCTGCTATCCAGATAGAACTTCTTCCACATCTCTGGCAATTTCTCCATATTCTTTTTTACAGGTTACAGTTCTCAGATTAAACTCAGCTCTTATGTTATTCACTAGGTGATAAAATTTTCCAGCCTCCTTTTGTGTCTTTAGGTTTTCAATTTCATCATAAAATTCATCAAAATTTGCTTTCTTTTTACTCTTATGTATGCTTTTTTCTTCCTGTCTTAATTCTTTATAGCTTTCCTCAGCATCTCTAGTGAAATGCTTTCAGATGATTAAAGCATTTGAACAGTGTATCAAATTAATTTTATGTGCAATGTATTTGGCTGCACAATTTACTACCCCTAGCATGAAGATGCAGTTTATCATGCCTAGGACTGATGAATGAATTGAAGGAAAATATAAAAAGCATCCAACCCACAGCGAGCTTCAGAAATTGTCGTCATTGTGTAACTGAAACGCATAAATTCATAACACAATACTGCTACAAATTTCAAACTGAGAAGAGCTTGGATGATTTTAGTGAATGTGTCTGCTTATTTAATGAAATAGATGTGTGTACTAAGTCAAACATAACTAATAAATGGTGCTTAAGATAATGACGGTATTTACAATTAAATTGAAGTTGCAGTAATTTCATATTAACAACAACATTTTACTTTGAGAAAAAGTGTACAATTATTTTTAACCATTATTACAACAAATTAACCATTTTTAACAATGAATGTAAATAATTAAAAATTTGCATACGTCTTGCTTTTAAAATGAATATTTGAATACATTTTGCTTCAGCAGTCTTGACAAATTGATAAAAATGTTTAGCAGATGCCTGAGCAATACAAGTTTATCAATATTTTAATAGCACAAATTGTAATTTATCTAAGGCATGATTTAACTAAAACCACTCTCACATCTGCAAGTTTTGTGGGACAGCACGTTGAAACATTTCTGAGAACCCCCATTTTCAAGAAACCTGCATAGCTACATAACCATCTTCATTTGATAAGCAGACCTGAATGCCAAATAGGAATCAATTATCACTCAGATTGGCCAAAGAGGCGTTCGGTTTCAAATTCCTTGTTGTATAGTTCACTTTATTCATTTGTTTGCTCTTTTTGACATTTTAAACTTGTTTGTTATTATGGAAAATAATAAGAAAGGTACTGCCCAATAAGTTTATCAGTTTAATATTGACATTGGCGAGTCAGAAAATTAAAGAGAAAAAAACGTCCTAAGAGGTTATTTATTCAATAATGGCAAAGAACCTGAGGGCTATCTGCCTAAGGGAAAAGCCTTTGAATAAATCACATAAAGAGATTAGTTATACAGTCAAAAGTCGTTAATCCGGACACCCATAATCCGGAATGATCTATAATCCAGACCTCAAAGCTACAAACTTTCTGCGCATGCGTCAATGCATAATGCCGTTCATGCATGTGCATAGGCGTTTATGCATGCGCATAATACGTTTACGCATGCGCGTTTAATCAGAGTTCGTACACATTTCTGCACACGAAAATTAAGTACTTTTAAGGACCATTAATGAAAAAAATTAAGGACCTATGAGCAAATGGGAACTGAGTAAATTCAATTAAAAATATTATATCTGTGCCTGAACGTGAATAGGATGCATTATTACTAAACATAATTTAATTGACATAATTATTAATACGTTTGAGAATAAAATTAATTTTATGAAATTTATCAAGTAGCATTAAATATTTTACACTTATAATAAATTGACACATTTGAAAGAAGATAAGTGACATTTTAGTTACATTTTACTAACAGTTAGCTTTTTTTAATGTCTCATTTTGTCACATACTTGCTCAATCTAGATGTTTATAAAATAACAAGTAGATTTTATGTCAAGCAGCATAGGTTAAAATGAGCATTAAAATCATAATCAGCATGATTCATAACAAAAGACTGGCTGTTGTCACCGCTCCTGCTTGCCTATAGAGAAACCTGCTGATCAGAACAAACCTGAAAGGCCTGATGTAGGTACAGTTAAGCCAGTTCTGAAAGTTAGCTGACCTCTGTCTGATGCTGTTAGTTTCGTAGCTTCGTGTAGAGTTCCAGGGATTGTAACTCAGTTAATATACTTTAAGGTTAAGCCACTAAAGCATTAGCAGTAATAAGTTGTTTTGCATTAAGTCTCACTAGATGCAAAGAATAAGTTTCACATGAAGTTTTATATTTTTGTGTTTTATCTTGTGACCACAGTAAAGGTTAACAAGTTGAGCCCGGCGCCGAATTTGCTGTCCTTTCCGTTCAGCCAGCAGCGAGCAATCAAGCGGTGCAATATTGCCGACTTAAATTATTCATAAATTATACAAAAAGGAAGGAGATGCACATAAAGTCCAAAAGTATTGTTCAAAATGTTATGATGACAATTCAAAGCTATTTGGATGCAAGATAGCCAAAAGTGTTATCAAAATAGTTGTTTCGTATTGTAATATGTGTAAAGCTAAGCCGTATTTTTGTTTCGTAAGCTTCAATAAATTTCATTAAAACTACATTTCATTACATTTCATTGAGACTACACTTATTTGTTAACTTTAATACTGTTGTCCCGTGGACCGATGCCAGCAAAACGAAAATTCCAGTTTTGCTGGTTCCAGGGACCGACACCGGGCTCAGCATGTTAACGAAAGACAGATAATTTTTTAAAGGAATGTATTTAGATATAATTAAATTAGGTATTAGATAACCTTAGTCATTATGGATTTACATGGCCACTATTAAATTTATTTTTTAATATAATTATTAAAAAACCCTATTAATATCACAATCTTGTAAAATTTCACAGTTTAAAACACATGCAATTTATGACACTGATTTACAGTGTTAGGATAATTACACATTAAAAGATACAAAACATAAAACTCAACAAAATAATTATGCGTCTTTTTAATTTGAAGGCCTGCCCAGACATTTTGGCTAATTTATATCGATTTCCTTCTCCTTAAGCACGTTTTCTAACAATTAGAAATTTGTCTCAATATGCAACTCAGTTAATGTTCTCATTAGTTTCTGCGTGTTTTGTCTCCTAGCTGCCAACCTCTATGAGGGTTTATTTGATCTGGTAAAAGTTAAATAGTCCTCCCCCTCCCCCCCGACAGACGTGAAACAAATTATCACTATGTCTGAAAGTAACTATAAATCAGATAAAAAATTTAAATAAAGGTTTAAATAAGCTTCTTATTAAAAAAGAACTAAGAACATATAGGCATGTTCTTATGCTAACAAAATAAAATACAAATTGTGGTGATATAATTAAACAAGAAGAGTGAAATTCAAACTAAAAATATGGACTAGTGGTTAAAAACTACACAATTTAATTTCAATTTAATCTGGTTCAGTAACTCTATTGTCATAATAAACTCATATGTCAACAGCAGTAATAGAAAGATTAATTATTACAAATCATCAGAGCTGACAGGAACTAATGCAGGGAGCAAGTGGAGTTCAGAAACACTCGTCTTACACTCCAAAAAACTCAGTTTAAAAACTGTCCAAGTGATTTGCATTTTGATGAGGAAATAGAAATGCAAAATTATAGTAAAGGCTGAAACTGTAAACAATTGGGTAATTTACATAATAATAACGTACATATCTTTGAAGAATAATTTTCTTTCTCTTTACATATTTAGTTTCTTTTTTCAACACGTTTCCTTTTCACTTAAAATTTTTTAGATTTAATTAAAGACTTCTGTTATTCTAAAAGACTAAATGCATTTAGAATGTATGGAGAAAGCTGATAATTTTATTTCTTAGTAATACGAGCATTCAGAAGAAATATGCAATACATATGGTAAGGTCTAATCACAGAGCTGGTGTGGCATAATTTTTAGAATTTAGGGACACACCAAGCA